AAATGGAAATCAGCAATAAAAACTATAGAAGTACAAAAGTGCTTGGATAACAAACTTAATTATTTTTCTTTTATTTTTGAGATTATTATAGAATTACATCATTTCCCACTAACCTTTCCTCACTTCAAACTTCCATATATTCTCTTCTTGTTCTCTTTCAAATCATGGCCTCTTTTTTATTAATTGTTGGTAAATACATATATCTGTGTAGATATGTGCATATGTATATATTCTTAAACATAATATGCTGCTCAGTCTGCATAACTTTATATGTATGTGTGTTTTCTGGGCTGAACCACTTGATATTGGGTAACCAGTTGGAGTGATTTTCACAGGGGGAAGACTATTTCTCCCACTCACAGTATTCCTTAGTTGCCCGTAGTTTCTTTGTGTGGGGTTGAAGCTTCGTGAGCTTTCTCCCATCTACTTTAGCATGTCTATTGTCATCCATGTTCAGCTCATGTTTAGACTCATTTTGGTGAAACTTAATGGGTGTAGCTTCTGACATGACTAGGACAAACTTTTCAATCTTCCCTGGCTCTTACAATCTTTCTGCTAGGAAATTAGGGAGATTTCAAATTAAGGAACCAAAGACACACTTTAAGACCCTAGGTAACTGTGAGAACGATATGAACAGCGTCATATAGTGAGATGTCTTTTTGCCAGGGAACACTTGTGATACAAAGCATCAGAACAAAAATGTTGCACAGGAAGATGTTCCTAGCACCTAGCACACCACACATTGGCAAAAAAAGAAAGAAAGAAAGAAAGAAAGAAAGAAAGAAAGAAAGAAAGAAAGAAAGGAAGGAAGAAGAAGAAAGAAGCGGAAAAGATCCAACCACACAGCTCTTTAAACGATCATACTTTAGTTGTACTGAACAATGTAAAATTCAGCATTCCAATGTTGTAGTTGTGATGGTCCAGCTCAGGGCTTTCCCCTCGTCTCTTGCAGTGTGTACCAGAAGTTCAATGCATCTAGCCTCTTGCAATGCATTGCTTGTTCAGAAGTTATAGGAGGTAGAAGATGCCACAGACTTACCCAAGTCACTGAAATGTGAAATGCACAGTTTCTCATTCCAGGCTGTGCTGATTTTACTCCTTATTTTCTTTGCCTTTTTTTTTTTTTTTTGGTTGTGGTGGGGGTCTTTGCAAAGATCCCATGGATCATGCTCATCATCTCTCGATGCTTATCCTTGTGTGTAAACCACTTCCTTGATTGTAGATAAGGAGTAAAGAGAAGTAATTCTGGAGTTAAAACTGAGGAACAGTTCTACCCTAAACCATTTCTAAAACTCCTTCTTTCTGAAACAGAAAACACAAGGAACTAACCAAGATAAGATAAATCAAATTTAACTTGGGCTCTTGGTTTGGCAGAGAGTTGAACTTCTATATGTTTGCAATATGATGAACGTACCTTCTGTCTCCTCTACTCTCACTTGGGTTGATTTTAGTCTTTTGGGATGGTCCACCACAAAGAGAAGTCTCATTGAGGTTTCTCTTCAGCTTTGTTTTCCCAAGCCCAGCATGCTTGTAGAACACTCTATGGTGTCAATATTTTTCAAATCCCGCAGCATGGGTAACTTGTCAGGGCAGAAATGATTAAAGGGTTTGTGTTAAAGAAAGTAATCTTGGAATTAGAAGCCTAAGCTCTTGTATGAATTGAAACAAATAGTGACTTGGTGATGCAGATTTGAGCACTGTCACTACACCTGTGTTCTGTCCTCAATTAATCTAGTCCTGGTTCACAGCTAACCCTGCTTGCTGCTTCCCACACTTGCGAAAGCCTTCTCTGGGCTCATGTCTCTTTATTCCTCTGGGCTATTTATGTCTCTGTGGTACATCTTATTTCTCTGCTGTGTTAACATGTGACAGGACAAAATGGCAAAGGAATAAAATGCAACTATTTCCCGTATTTTGTAAAACTGTGTGTCTTTGTCTATCTCTGTGTACGTCCTACATACATTTATATACATGGATATTGTATTCCATCTCATTTATTGGAAGGTGGGACTCTGAAGTATAGCATGTGTATTGTTCATCTATGTTATAATGATATAGGTTATGAAATAAAAATCAAGAAAAAGAATTATAAGTGAAAGTATTATAGTATGACAGTTGGTGTTGAAAAGAACTGAGCCAGTGTTCAGTTAGTATACTTTCTAATTAAATTTTCCAATATCCTGAGCACAGGGTACTGTTTGTTCCTTTATGGAAAATAAGCCACCCTTAAGAAATGAGTTAAAAATGTATGAAAAGAGCAGAGTCAGCTCCAAGTCTTTGTGTCCCAGGCTCTTCAGAATAGCCCCCACATTGGAATGCAACCCTGTGTCCTTATCCCCTTGATAACATATGTGCTATCATACGTTAACACAGCAAGTCGTTCAGGCGAAACTCTGGCACTTCTGTGATGAAGGGTTGCAAGTAAAAATGGCACGGCTAGCTTTGTCCTGCTTACGAAGAAATCTTATTAGCATCTTGCTTCTGTGTAATCTACTGAGGACCATGACAGGTGTGTATTCTGATTAGTTTTTGCAGCCAGCCTCCATTGGAGAGAACTAATTGTTCACTTTTGAGTGGTTACCAATTGGAGAGAGACTCCTCCCAAAGATGACAGTGGGGTTTAGTGCGTGTCGTTCCCATCAGCGCAGGTTGAGGACCTGGGAACAGCCGCACCTGCAGACGACTCCATTTAGTGATTGCTGCTGAGCAGAGAAGGCAGGATAGAGGAGAGGCAAGAAAAAGCTTTTGGAAAATTCCAATTAGTGCAGCTTGAAGTGGAAGATTAGCTGTGATTTGGTGTGGGGTGTGGCTTTAAATAGGGCCAAATGTATGCCAACCTTATGATCTTCAAAGAAAGGGCCAATGAGTAAATAGTTCATGGAGAGGAAAAAGAAAAGTATCAAAGTCTTGTTCTTAATCTAAAAGTAAGAAATGCATTCTGTTTCACTCTACTTAATATTTAGTTTGATGTTGACACAGGTCCTGTGTCAAAGGTCCAAGGCAGAAGCCATTTGTTGTGACTCTAAGGAATGATGAGAGTTTGGACTGAACATTCCCAGTTTATTTTTTTCCTCAGCACATTGCAGCCTGTGGCAGTTTACCTAGGCTGGGGTAGATTTATAGGTTTCATTGCTATAGCTCAGTAAAATGATTCTTTGTAAAGGTATATATGGTTTACCTATTATTGCTTTGAAATCCTTAACTGATGGCAGTATTAATGCAAAATAGATAAGAAGAAAGTCTGAGTTGAAACTTCTCTGATGTCAGTGTGAATTCAATGACAGAAAGTTATATAAACAGAACTTGATGATCTTTTATGTAGTTCCTTTCCCAGCTCCAATTTAAGATGCATTTGAGGATTTACCAAAGAAAAGCCCATCCTAGTACTGTTGATGATTCACAAAACCTACATCCCAGGAGCTTGCAAGCAATTCCACTCGAATCTCTTCTCCCCAGCTATTTTTATGGCCCTTTGGGGCGGGGTCTAGTGAGTGCCATTTTTTTTCCAGGAACTTCCTAAGCCTTACAGGATTCATTCTCTTCAGTGTTAGGAGCTTTCCTTCACAGCAGCACTCCCTTCCCACCACTTTTCAGGCAGGAAGGTTTCAGTTTCTGGGAAATAGCTATGCAACAGAAGGACTAATGAATGGTGGGGAACTGTTTCATAGTGAAAGATCTCCCATAATCTTAATGTTCTAGAGCATCAAGGCCAAGACCGTCAAGAAACACATTTGTTTAGAAGAATCTCCCATAGAAATCCCCCCCCCCTGTTTTAGTACATAAATCATTGTGGAAAATAGATTTTTAAAATTATTTTTTTTTTATTTTGAAATTCTCAAGTTTACAAAAGTGCTGAAATACTATTGCTATGCACAGCTACAGAACTTTTAACCAGAATCACGACTTGTGGAAATTCTGTCCATTTCATTTTACTTTTGTGTTTCTTGTTCTGTCCCTGTCAGTCTCTCCCATGTAGATAATCTTACACATATATTGCAACTAAAATGCATACATCATGGCACTTAACTCCTATTTTTGCCTACTTCTTAGAAAGAAGAACATTCTGTATAATGTATAAACATAATGCTGTTATACCACACAAGATTATCATTAATTCACTAAGACCCACAACAGTATATATTAAAACCCCCTTGTTTATATTAGAATTGTCGTTCAGTGTCCAGATATTTTCACTTGAGCTTTATAGAACTGCAGTTCAGCCTTTATTTGGAACTGAGCTAAGATTTCCTGGGAATGTTGGCCTTGCTTCATTTTCTCTGGTTGTTCCTTAATTTCTTTCAATTCTAGCAGCAATACTAGACAATGATAACATCCTTCCTAGAGCATCACACCAGGAGATGCAATGTGTTTTGTCGACCTACAGCACTTTTACGAACAGTGCTATTTGATTAAGTGGTAAGTTGATGGATGTCATATCTTTCTATCAAAAAAATCTTTCTCCCAATGTGTGGTAGTAAAAGGCATGAACTTGAGGCCACCTCAGACTACAAGCACTTGGAGATCTTATCTTAAAACTAAGACTCAACCAGCCAACCAAACAACTGCTCAAAACAGCTATGATTTTCTGGAAGGTCAAGATGGAGAAGAGGCTTTGAGACCATAGAATGTAGTAAAGGATTATTGCTGGTCAAAGAGTCTCTTTGCTCTTTTATTAAATAAGGTTTTTTTTCCTGGTTAAATAGTCTCTCTACTCTTTTATAAATCAAATTATCCCACTTTTAATTATTCTTCAAGGTCATGATATATATAAACTTCTTAACTTACTTCAAAGTACGTTTGGAATAAAATGGTAATAAACTGTATCTTTCCAACCTCTCCTCATAAAGTAGTTATCGGGGTAATTCTGTTTGCCTTTGAAAATCCAGTTGTCAACTAGCCTACTAAACCAGTTTCCCTTATAGTTAACGGATCCTAAGATGTACAGTTTAAATAACAATAGTTTACTCTGCAGTTGCATAAATATGTACGTCAGGATGAGGTTAGCGACTGGCGATATGCATGATCCCTAACATGGAAATAAAGAAAAACATAACAACACAGATACTTTTCATCCAGGACAGGTGAAAGAGGGAGGCCTGAGAGTGTTTGGGCGCCCGGGTTCTCAGGGGCTTGAGGATCCGGTCTCTCTGAGTGAGGATGGCTGCCCGAGCCCCCGCCCATTTCCCTGGCCCCTGTAAGCGGTACTGGTATGGGGTGCAGGGTCCCCAGAAAATCTCCTTGGCCAGCTTTGTATCCCAGAGGAGGAGCGATAGCAGGTTGGGCTTGACACCTAACTCGGAAGCAATTTCATCCATGTAGTCGATGAACTTGACTCGGCGAGTGTCTTGGAGTCTTTTCATAGTGCTGGGGAGGGAAAGGAAACACAAGGAATGTCAGATCTCAGTCACTAGTGTCCTCAGGCTCCAGTAGTGTTTGTTTTCATTCGCTGTTCATTTCACCATTTAACACTTATCAGACCTTAATTTCATATATTTTTCTCAATTTCCTTAGGAACGTTTTTGGTCTCTTAACACATGATGTAAATCCCTGAGGGCTTTAAAGTTACCACAAACCCAGAAGAGTGGATGACACGTATCTGGATTTTCCTTCTAGATACAAAATCCAGTTCCATGGTATGAATTAAATTAGCAAGGGCTATCTAAGTCACAGTGTATGGAATTCCATTTCTCAATTCATGTTTCTACGTAAACTATCTTCTCCATATACTAATTCTGTACACTATTCTTCCTTTGGATATTCCTAGATATTCATATGTTACTATTTTTAGAGGGCAAGATGGTTTAAAATTAAAAGCCCCTCTGCAAGCAGGCACAGTGGCAGATATTTGCCATCTCCAGTACTCAGGAGGCTAAGAAGAAAGAATCACAAAGTTCAAGGTCAGCCTGGGCTACATAGTGAGTTCAAAGCCAGCTTAGGCTATAAAATGAGGCACCATCTCAAAACAAAAGAAAACCAAAAAGAGAAAGCATGCTGTCAAAACATTCTTGAGTAAAAGAGACACAAAATAGAAAGTGCCACAATTAAAGAAAAATCAAGACTTTTCAAAATGGTGGGAGGAGATAAATTTGTATCATTTAAGATGAACGTAATAAAGCGAATGAAAACATCCAAGTAAGTTGGAGTGAAATAAGGCTAAGGAAAGCAGTATGAAAGCATCTGTTACTAAATTCATGGCTACAGGCGGAGAACAGTCATCACTGGTCTTAACCCAGCTGTGAACTTTAGTGACCGTCCAATACCAACCTTCCAGGCAAGTGGGGTCCACCGGTGCAGGAGCAGCAAGACTGATATGGGGGTAAACACTCACTGTATGGTGAGGCCTGCACCATAGCAGGAAATTCATGCCTCAGACTGTAAACCTAGTCATAATCCTGTGACGGCGGAGAGAATTCATTCTTGTGTAATTCAACTTGTCTGACTCCAACTGCCTTCTAGGTGGTTATATTCATACTTGTAGATGAATGCTGCTAGTCTCAGTGTTAATCACAGTTTCTCTTTGTAATGTGTGACAGTGAATTCAGAGACTCACAGTGCCAAGGAGTAAGTCACAGCGAAGTGCTAGGCCCCAAACAGGGCCCCAGAGAATACCAAGGAAGGCAGGGAGGAAAGAATGGAGAGCCAGAAGATGAAGAGACGGGCTGTGGGATGCTAGCATCTGGGTATGGTGTACCCTTCTTGTACTGCCATTTTTATTTTTAAAAATTATGCCGGGTTACCTCAGAGCCTTTCATGCAGTACGTGTCTTAAATGCATGTCTTAAAAAAAAAACCCTTTTATTCTTATTTCCACAGTGAATTTGCATTCTGCTCATTATGTTGACTTGGTGTTCTGTGGTTACTTAACATTTTATGTCACATTTTTATGTTCTACAATCAGACCCATGTGAAGAGAAACTCAACATGATATTACTGAACTAAAATTATCTTATTAGGGCTCATGTAGGTACAAAATATATAAAAAGCAAAATAAAATATTCCCTCTTTAACATGTTTCATTTACTTTAACAAAAAAAATTAGTTTTCTTACTCCATTGCCATTTTTTGTTTTCTTCTGTTGATGTCAGCCATCATTTCTTTCTCCGAGGGCAACTTCTTTAGTCCTGAGAAAACAATATATAGACTTTGGAAGGCTGACACGAAGAGCAAGTGTATAAGTAAACAAGAAGGATGGTTTTGAAACAGAATAGAATCATCAGACTGCTATAATATTAATAATCAAAGGCTTATGTTTAAAAAACTCCAAAGGAAGAGCAATTCTTTTCCATCATCATGCCCAGGATGTCAGTTAGGGAATTCAGCTTTCCTCTAAGATAGTGCCTAAACTTTTCATAGTTGAAATGTACACTCAATATCCCTGAATATTACAAATACTCTTAATATGTTTTATAGTCTTACTGGGACCTGACTCAAATTTCTCTTTCTGAACATTGCCTAGCATTGATCTTACGTCCCGAGTCCACCTTTTCTGTATTTCGAGTTGAGAGCATCTCTTAGTTTTTATTGTGCCTCCTGAAAGTAGGCACTGAGGGAAAAGGCCCCCAAACTACAATGACTACATTTTGAAAGGAGAGCAAGTAATTGCAGATGGAAATTCTGTATATGTGAGCGTGTCAAAGACAAGGAATATACAACAAACAGAGTATTAAATAATGCCAGGGAGTCAGGACAAAGGATAGTAGGCGCATGAACTGTTTGCCTTGTTCCTCCACCAGATGTCAATAATTACAAGTATCTGCGAAAATATGACCTGCACAGAAGTATCCTCGAATGTTTCAGAATATGATTGCACAATACAAACGTAAATGAGTGTGCAGACCATAAAAGGAAGAGAACTGAAGAGTTGAAAGTTCATGTACTGCTTTGTGTTACCATTGTACGTGTATGCATACCTTGTGAAACATCAACTAATCTTCTACAAATATACCGAATAGCAAGAGCACATTCTCAATGAAATACTTGTGTGTGTTCGTCTACGCATCAGTGTCTGTAATAATTCCAAGTGGTGATCAATATAAAATAAGTATTTAATATAAAATAAATGCATACATATAAATAAATAAATATATATATATATGTATGAGTTCATGTATGTACACGTGCCTATATGCACATTGCACATCTTGAATGGGTAAGAATGTGGAGAGCTATATATTAAGTGAAGAAAGTAACTGTAAAATGAGGATTCATTTCACAATGTTGTGCTAAGAGGAAGAAGCCAGATAACATATAGGGCGCATTCTCCCAGGAAATGTAATTGTGTAACCGCTTTCTCGTGTGGTCATCATCATATCACCCATTTAATGAAAGTCAGCAAAGAAAACACATATTAGGAGAAGCAGAAGTAAGAAATACAGTAAGCAGAGACTTAGGTTTACAGGCCAAGGCGAGTTATGCTGTAGAGTTTTGAATGGGCATCAGATGGGCTTCCCTGAAGTTTCAGAAAATGAGGAATATAAGAGAACTTGCAGGAGCCGCTCTTCCCACTCCACCATGGGTACATATTCAAATCTCACTCAGAGAATTGCCGTGACAATGATTTTATGTCTCAGAATGCTGAGGACTCAGCAAGAACATCCATCCCATTGTGCCATATTCTGAGGAAGAACCATCCTAACGAGGAAGAGTCCAGACCACTCACTCTAAAGTATAGAGAACTTGGTCAAGATTGTTTTGGACTCTGTGGTGAAGGGGTATCCGCGATTAAGCCAACAAGTGTCAATTTGGGTAACGATTTGGGAAATGAATTGAGAATGAACCACAAACTTGGAGTCGACACTGCAAAATGACTTCACCACATTTCTGAGATGTGTCCTAAGTGGTTCATCCCCTGTTTTGTTTTCCTACTTTGGTCAATTCCTGTGTCCAAAACCTCACCCTAAGTTACTTTTCTGCTGAAAAGAAGCAGATAAATGGACAGTTACATCAAAATATACCCTCATTACAATTTTCTTGGTTTTAAATTTTTCATTATTTGAGTGTTTTTTAATTTTTAATAGAGAATTCTCTTAATAATGAACTATCAACCTCCAGAAGAGTCCAAAGTAGTCTATTTTTTAATGTTGAAACTCCAGACAATTTGATAGAATGATAGAGTACAACAGAGTAGATCAACAAAGACCTCTGAGTGACTTTTTAAACCACAGAGCACTTGGAACAGACTGCACTCACGGGAAGAGAAGACACGCAGATACCTGTGAACACACGCACAGCCCATCGGCTCTGGATCTCTGACGTGGGGATGATGGCCCCCATTGGCTGGAGGATGCCAATGAAGGCTAGAGTTGGCTTATCTAGCCCTGGAGGGAAGACAAACTTGAACATGGAGTACTCGCTGTCCAGGATTGCTGGGTCATCATTCAAGAAAGGGAATGACAATGTGTAGCCTGTGGCAAAGATGACGACATCTACTTTCTCCTCAGTTCCATCCTCAAAGATGGCCGATGTTGAGGTGAACTCTTTCACATTTGGTTTTATCATCACTTTTCCAGTAATGATGAGACTTGGCAGGTCATCACTGAGAACCGTTCGGTCATCAAAAATTCTGTTGATCAAGAGAAAGGCATACAACTTCTTAATAAAAATGTAGCATAAGGCAAAAGCTCTGGAAAATGTTGCATAGCTTCAACAAATTTTTATTCTGCTTCTTAGCATCTTCAGCAAGCAATATAGCTCATTAGTAAGGAACTGATTTTCTGATTCCAAACTGAACTTTGATACCTGCTCAGTCTCTTACTCATTGAAAGGCCTTGGACAAGCCATGAAACATTTTGGTTTCACTTTCCTAATGGTAAAATTGTAATAATGTTACAGCAACCATATCAGATTTGTGAGCATGTACTAAATATCTTTAGACAATAATACTTTTTTACAAGGAATAAAGTATGTTAGTTGTTTAGTACAGGGTCTCACTATGTAGCCCTGGCTGGCCTGGAACTCACTTTGTAGCTCAGGCTACTCTTTAACTGAAGGAGATCTGCCTTCTTCTTTCTCCCAAATGATTGGATTAAAGGTGTGCTAAGTTTTGATCTATATTTTTACTCTTGATACCATGTAAACCTAGTTGATAGTAGTTATTAATATTTTATTGCACTTACTGATTTATTGCATGTATTTATTTAATGACTCATGTGTGTGCATGTGTGTGTGTGTGAAGATGTGGAGGTCAGAGGATAACTTGTGGAAATCTTTTTTCTCCTTCTACCATGTGTTTCCAGATTCAGGTTTGATGGCAAGTGCCTTTACTTGCTGAACTATCCTGCTAGTCCTAGTTGCTAATATTTTTAAAGACCTAAAAGGTATATCTGCAACATTTAACAATGAATCTTCAACAGGAATGTTTGTGAGCAGTGACACTGAGCCCTTTGGTCGATTTCAGCTTAAGGTTTGAGCTATGAATTAGTAGCAGGGAGTCAAATTCTCCTGTGATTACATTAGTGCAAAATCAATATTATTAAACATATCTCATAGATACTGAGTAATTTCTCCATAAAAAGGAGCCTGAAGTCATACATATGACCTCAGTTCAGCACAAAACTATATATGTAGCCTTTCAGATAGCTATTAATACTGATTTTATGTTTTCATTAATTTAAGCCCTTATTATGTTTTCCTGTAAATCACATTTATTTATTCATGTGTGTGGGTGCCCAGCAGTGCGTGTGTGGAGGTCAGAGTGCTCTTGTGGGAGTCATTTCTCTCTCTCTACGTCATGTGGATTCTGGGGATCCAATTCAGGTCATGAGGGTTGGGAGCAGATGTCCTTAACCCACTGAGCCATCTCGCCAGTCATAGGATTTGAAATTTTAATAGAGGGAGCCACTTAGGATGAAAAGGAAATATGACCAAGAGTAGATGCATGGCTGACACCAAGTCTTACATGTCTTATGGAGGAAAAAAGAAAACACAGAGGTGAAGTGGCCACGGAGTTGGAAGAAGCAGAGAAGGAAGATTCAGGAGGAGAGGACTGGACAGGGTCTGAGAACGGCGGCTGTTGAGTGAGGTAGGAGCAAAACAAATAAACAAACAAAAAAACAAACAAACAAACAAAAAACCTAAGAATACTCAAGGACAGAGTGAGTTTCGGGAAGATGGCTGCAGTTTTCAGTGGTAAGGGCTGTCTTGGCTGAGGCTAGGCGTCATGCAAATGGGACAGGGCAGGAAGTCTGTGGGTGAAGAGGTCGAAGGGCATGAGGTCATAGTGAACTGTCTTGGTTGGTGGTGGGTTTAGAGAGTGAACATGGCGTACTTGAAAGAGGGTGGCAGGAAAGCAGGAGAGGGTGGCATGGTGACCCCAGACGAATGTCAAATAAGACAAGATTTTTAAAGTCTTTACTTCCCGACTCTGTACGGCTCAACTTTTCTTACAACTTGTGCAGCGGTTCTTAACCTGCGGGTCCGACCCCTTGGAACGGTCCTTTCACAGGTGTGACATGCCAGCTATTTACATCACAATTCATAACATTAGCAAAGTTTCAGTTATAAAGTAACGATGAAAATGATTTCATGACTGCGGGTCACCCACCACAACATGATGAGCTGTATTAAAGGTCACAGCGTTAGGAAGGTTGAGAAGCACCTTGTTAGTCGGCTCACAGAGAACCCTCAGTAAGAAGAAAATAATTTGGATATTCCCCATAAAAACACGAGGAATTTGTGGTAACGCTGCTCCCATTCATATACTTATAGCTTAACCATTTAGTCGGCTAGTCCAGTCACTCAAAAGTATTGTCTGCTTAAAGTACCCAACTCTACCTGTGCTCTGGCAGCAGTCCATAATTGGCGTGGTTAAACATCATGTTTAACTTTTTCTCCATCTTTCTGTTGAGCAGGAGTGTGGGGCAGAGCTTCCCGACAGCTCTGTTATAACGGGTGAAGAGGGTGGCGTCCATGGGTTCCCCATGATCCCAAACCCGCTTCAATATCCACGCCCCTCGCCTTGTGCTGAGGAAAACCTTCAAGAGAGGAGTGGTTGCCTGGTGAGTATTCAGTTGCCAATCACTCGGGTCTCAGATCTTAGGAGGTTTTGGTTTTTGTCTTAAGTTGTCGAGGGGATGGAATTTACTTCCCACACGGCCTCGTCCACCTCACCAGATTTCTTTTCCCTGCCTCTACTTTATAAAGACATCCAATTACTGAAAGCCATTTCGGCTAACCTAATGTTTGTCCTGGGTCTACTCCCCTTGTGATGCTTGCTCTGGCTGTATAGATGTCTGGAGTGTCTGAGGTCCCAAAATAGGGGGGGAAGCGCACAACAGCACAATCGGCGATTATGCTGAGTGTCGGAAGTCAGTAGTTCAGATTCCAAGTGAGATTTCCAAGCGATGGAAAACAATGTGGGTAAAATGTTTGAGATCAACCTGAAAATCAGGTACAGAAATTCACACTAGATTCTTCTCACGTTCACAACAGGAAAAGCGCTAACAAAATATTTTCAGTACAAAAGAAAAAATAAAAGGAAATTTCTGTTTTGATAAATACATGGGTCTGTTTTGTGTCCTTTAACAGAGACCCTGAGAAGAAAGCTTTTTACTGAAGTGACAATCACTGGAGTGATGCCATTGTCACAAGGAGCTGTGACTCGTGTACCTCAGAATCATGGCATGGTTCACTTAATGTACGGAAGGTGTTCAGAATCGGAGATCTTGTGTCTTTTTCTGTAAAGTTCATTTTGAATTGTTAGGGGCTCAGTTCAGTCACTGCAGAGCTTCAAAAGATTGCTCCTCTTTCCCTACTTGTTATTTGTCCACAGCCAGTGGGAAACCACGGAATCTATCCTTTCTTCTTAACACCCTCATGCACAGACCAACAGCAGATTTAAAATACTCAGGGTTGTGCGCACTGATTGCTCTTTAAACTTTGTTTCCAGTGTAAAAACAGTGTCTTCTGTAAAACTCATTTCATTTTGAAATTTCCCATGTATCTACCTGTAGCTAATTCTGAGTTACCTGACTCTAGTTGGGTTGTTACTTCCATGACTCCAGTGCCTTACGGACTGGGAATATTGTCACTTTGGAAGTCTGTATTCTCTTATTCATAGTCAGCAGGAAAAACATGCCATTGCTGTCCAAATGGGAGCATTACTGCTAAGGCCAGAGAAAGTCTAGACTCAACAGATTCTGCAGGTGTCAAAGTCACACCCAAGAGCCGAATCAGGGAACGACGCCAAACCTGCTCCGCGACACGGCTGATCTCGCCTGCCACATCCACTCCAGAATTCCCAATGCCGATCACCACCACTCTCTTCCCCACAAAGTTGCATGGGTGCTTGTACTCCCAGCTGTGAAGACAGCGGCCTCGGAACTTGCTGATTCCTGTGAAGACAGAGTCAAACCTCCACGTCATGGCGGAAGTGGAAAGCACTGATCGGTAACTTTCATCCTTAAGCTTGACGTTCATGTTACTTTATTCTCTTCTTTGCGCTTGGACTTTACCCTGCTGTGGCAGAATACTGTCAGCCAAGGAGCAAAGCATTCAACAGCAGTAACTATATGGCCAAGACCAAAATCAGAGCAGTTTTTAAAGCAGTCGATAAAATATACCTTAAGATTTACTCAATATGCTAACTCTTTGTAACTTTGGAGTGTTAATTGTGTTTTTCTTATTTTCTATTCAGAGATATGAGACTGTTTTTTCATGTTTTAGAACCCTTTGGAAATTCGCAAATTTGAAAAGATCCTGAGCAATGTACATCGGTGTTATTCAGAAGCAACTAAATCAGTTTTAAACTTCCCAGAAGCCCAGAAACACTGAGAATGATAGTAATTTTAGGTCCGTATTTTACTTAACCCAGGATAATCTGAATGCTAATATATGGTTAATGTAAGGTTATTATTGAGATTCTTTTTATGCGCCTACTGTGTTTTCTATGTGTGGTAGGCATTTTACATAGGAGACATCTTAATTTTGTGTCCTTCACATGTCATGTGCTCATCTGTAACACCTGGCTAGTGGCCACTCTTTAATACCGCAAGCCTGGGATAGTAGAAGTTGCAAGGCATTCTGGAAAAATTCTATTTTAAAATTGTAATTGCCACAATTGTAAAATTCTGTCGTGCATAATCTGTCATTCATTGAGTGTGCCAAAGATTTCTAAAATACCACCAAATTTTTATTCTCTCTGAGTCCTACTTCCATTGTTTTATTGAATCTTCACCATCATTATCTCCTCAATGGGCTGTTTAAAGTCTTTATTATTGATCCCGACTCAGCCATCTTCCTCTGTCAATTAATGCAAGACTGATTTTTATAAAGTGCAAACTTGATTATATATTTGCTTCTCCTGAATATATGTGCATATCTGAGTGCATGTACACACACACACACACACACACACACACACACACAGAATAATGCTTTTCCATTGATTCTTACATGCTTCTCCTAACCTAGGCACTCCAACTGGGTCGAGTCCTTGAGACCTTTCCAGGATTTCCCATCTACTGCTCTCTACACGCTGCTTCCTCTCCCATGAATGTCTCTCAGACCTCGTTTGTCTGAGAAACTCTGGTTTCCAGTTCCATCTTTATTTCTATTGCTAGATCTTCTCTGGCAGCTCTATGAACTTAGGACATCCTCACTTGTATCCCCTCCGCATAATCTACCTTCGTCCAATGCCAGTGATAGCCTAGGCGTTAAGATATTTACACTCTTAAGATCCTTCTCACACATAAGTCGGAGAAATACCTGCAAAATCCTGTAAGGGAAAATGCTTCTCAGAGTAGTGACCACTGCAGACCATTATCGCATCAAAGATATAGGTTTTCTGCACCCCATCGGCCTCCACCACAACGTCCCACTGACCAGAGGATGAAAAATCCAGGCATTTCCTGACGCTGCACACCTTTGTCTAGGAAACAAGGAGAAAAACCCAAGTTATAGGACACTTTCATCTATGTTCCCTCCCACCCCCCATAGAGTTCTGTTTAAGCAGCTCTATGCACGGCTCCTATGTCGTTAGGATTTGTGTGCATATAAAGAATCACTTTCCAAATGTTAAGACTTCTTAGAACACAAAATGCATTGGTTTTATTTCCTATGCCCTATGTTTTCACTTGACAGAATGAATCAAAGATTAGAACTTGGGTTGCAGCTGGGACAGTGCTCATTTGGCGGCATAGAAAAGACAAACATATCTTCATGAATTATGAGAGTGGGGGGACTCGGGTGGGAAATGCAGGTTGAAATTGTGCCCAGCTGGCTCTGCTTGGACTTCACTCTGACCAATGTGCAGGCAGTGGGCGGGGTTTCACTGCTTACCCGGAACTGGATGTGTTTCATGAGCCCGAAGTGCCTGGCGTACATCCTGAGATACTCCATCATTTTGGAGTTGTGCAGGTAGTTGGGGTAATGGTCAGGACAGGGGTAGTCGCTGAAGGCTGTCATCTCCTTGGATGTATTACAGGTCAAAGATTTGTATATCCCAGGCCTTCCACTTTCTGATGTCTCCTGAAGGAAACAAACCAACCTTGGCTTCTTGAACGTGTTAGGGGACCAGATTTGTGATGTTTGGTATACTTTTCTTTGAAAAGTCCTGATTTTATTTTCAGGTTTTGTGATAGAATTTAGCAGGATGAGGGCATTTTTTCTTGCTCTAATTTTATTTCTAGTGACTGACTCCGTGGTGGCCTTAATTATTTTACAACTGAAAACAGATAGAAGGCTCCAAGAGCGCACATAAAACAAACTGAGACAAAAATTAGAAAAATAACACAAAGAAGGTTTAGATGAGAAACTACCAGTGGACAAAATCTGCCTCACAATCGAAGGGGTTTTATTTAAGAGAATGTAACAAAGAATAAAATGCTTATCTGATTTGGGACAAGAAAGTCATGCAACTATGGGGTATATTAAAATATAAAGGAACAATAATGGCAATAATAATATAAGAGGACTGTCCCACGAGGAATTTCAAATTTATTTAAATATTTATCACTAATTTGGAAAGTACACTTGAACAATATATGTCATCAAACTTTTACTTCCTAGTTGGATAGGAGCAAGTCCCAAACTCGTGGATAGTGTCATAGTCTGAAAGTGTTCATAAACTCACCTCGTATTTCCACAGTCCTCCGATGTCACTGCCCTTTTCAAAGCATGTAGGCTCTAGTCCCTCCTCCAAACAGCTCTTAATGGCGCCTAGTCCACTAACCCCAGCACCAATCACTGCAATTCTTTTTACCTTCATGGTCTCTGGAATTCAGAAGAATTACTTCAGTGCGGTTGTAAGTGACAAAGCCAAGGTTCATTACTGCGTTAGTGTGCCAACCCCCTTCATTTTAGCACTGACATATTCTGGGTACACAACTTAATTGCTTTTATTATACCTTTTATCATCTTAGCGTACATATTCTACATAAATTGTATATTATATAACTATTTTTTTCCATTTCAGGGCACTATTCACCCACATATTCAAACAACAGCAGATGGAAATTTTTCTTAAAATGTACATTTCTACTGAACACACAGAGATTTTTTTTTCCTTGTCATTACTCCCTAAACAACAGTGTCTAAAATCTATTCAGAAAAGTTAGTGGATATAACTAGTAATACAGACAAGATTTAAAGTATGTTGGAGTTTGTGGGGAGGCTATTTGTACACATAAGAAGTGGTCAACCGCAGATTTTGATATTTGTAGAGTATCCTTGAGCCAATCACCTGCAGGTGAAAGGGATGACTGGTCATTTTAATAGAACATTTGGTCAAAAAAAATTTACAGTGAATTTCAAGATGATTAGCAACCTTTTATTATAGAAACATCCTATATTTTACTGTCTTGTTAAAATTTGATTTTTCAAGCAGTCATTTATGTGATGAAGACTACTACGAAATAATCTGCTTACTAAGGTATACAAGGTTGCCACAAATTTTTTGTTGGAATATTGTCCTGAGTCTTAGTGTATATTATTTCTACTCTATTTTAGGTCTATTCTCTACTCAATCAGTTTCTTCCCAGTTGGGTCAGATGTACTATATTTTAACACCTGCACAGAAAAATGGAAAAATAATGAAAAGTTTGAATAATAATATCTGTCCGTTCGTTTGGTTTTAAGGCTCTTGGGTGATGCTTGTGGGGAAAGATCCCAGGGAACTAAGATAAAACCAAATACTACTGGCCTAAAACAAAAACAAAAACAAAAAACACCCCACCCCCCAAATGTAGTGGTAAAATGACTCCAACTGACATTCTGCTGTTGTACTCATAGATCAGTGCCTTGCTCAGTCATCATCAGAGGAGCTTTCTCATGCAGCAGATGGGATCAAATACAGAGACCCACAACTAGGCAATATTCACAGAGTGAGAGAGCTTGGAATAGTCAGCACTATCCAAAATGTCTCCATCAAATCTCTGCCCTCAAGGCTCAGGGAACTCCGAGGAAGAGGAGGTGGAAAGAGTGTAAGAGCCAGGGGATGGAGGACACCAGGGGAACAAGGCCCTCAAAATCAACATGAACAAAGCTCCGATGAGCTCACAGAGACTGAAGCAGCAAGCACAAGGTCTGTCCATGTCAGCACCAGGGCCTCTGAATATATATGGTATAGCTTCCAGTTCCTGAGTGTGTGAACGAGTAGGTCTCTGATTCTTTTTTTTTTTTTTGAGAGCTGGGAGAGGTTGAACCCAGGACCTTATGAATGCTAGGTGAGTACTCTCACCACTATGCCACATTCACAGCCTAGGTCTCTGATTCCTGCTCTTTCACTTGGGCTTGTTTTCTTCTGTTGGGTTGTCTTGTCCAACTTTGATGTGATAGTTCATTCTTTATTTTGTTAGGCTTTGTTGTTATCTCTTAGAAGCCTGTTCTTTTCTAACGGGAGACAGAAAGGGAGTGGACCTGGATGGGAGGAGAAATGAGGAGAAGCTGGGAGGAGAAGAGGAAGGGGAACCTAATTAGGATGTATTATGCAAGAAATAATCTATTTTCAGTAAAAGGAAAAAACAGAATGAGAATTCCAACGTGTGATACATATGATCCCACCTTCTCTGCGTGGCTTCCAAGGCCTCTGGTGAGTCAGGCTTAGCCTTACTCTTTCACCTTCTCTGACCCATCCCCCCCTCTTGCCTGTCAACATGCAATCATGTAGAACACTGTGACCATCTGCTTTTGGTATCCCTCTGTTTAATGACCCTTTTGTGAGAAGATTATTATCTTTTCCACCTACAGCCAAGTGTAATTTTTCACCGATGTCTTCTATTCTCACAGCTGACAAAACGCAGCTTAGAACATCACTGTAGATTCTAATTTCCCTTTGTTTAATACTTTTTAGAATTTGCTCTATCTCTTCTTCATCTAGGCGGTGACATGTGAGTCTAGGGACATCACATTCTCTGAGAGTAAGCACCATAGTGCCAGAGGGCAGTGTTGGGACTCAGTGACAGATAAGCGGGCTCAGCTTCCTGAAGTCCAGCTCTGTTTAGTCCTGTCTTGGTAGAGGGATTCCCAGTGTATTTCAGGTTTAAGGACTATTTGTGTGTATTATTTCTTGTTTTTTTTTTTTCTCTCACACTACATTATGATACTTAAAAAAATTATTATGTATGAGTGTTTTTGTCTGCATGTATGTCCGCACATATGTATGTATGTATGTATGTATGTATGTATGTATGTATGTATGTATGTATGCATGCCTGGTGTCAGACAAAATCAGAAGATGTTGGTTTCCCTGCAACTGGAGTTACAGGTGATTGTGAGCCACCATGTAGGTGCTAGAATTTAATGGGGTCTTTGCCAGAGCAGCCAGTGCTCTTAACCTCTGAGCATTCTCTCTAGCCTGCACACATTCTATTTTGTTATGGGATAAGGAATGGTCCCATTTAGTTGAGTTAAAACTCTGTTATCTATTTTAGGAACTGAAGCAAGCCTAGAACTCTTTATGTCTCTTTTTCTGAGGCTTTTTCTTTGGTTTAGAAGGAATGAAATATACAGCGGTCATCCATACAAATGACAAGCTGTCGAAAGAATTCTTTCTTTCAGCTGTATAGCTTTCAAAGTGCTGTGGAGGAAGATACAGCAATTCTCTTCAGGTTGAAGTGTTAATCCTAGTCTGCAGCTCAGTGTAAACAGGGAGGCATGTACTTTGGGAAATAATGCCATATATATATGTGTGTGTGTGTAATATATAAAATATAAATATAAATTGCACATAAAAGTATAGATATATAAAAATAATATAGAAATATATTTATACATAACATTTATAAATATATAAATTTATATAAAATATAATATTTAAACACGTATGTATATGCATATATTATATGTGATATGTGTATATTACTTTAAACATAAAATTATGAATCATAATATTATAGAATTTTTCATATGATTTTTAGATGGATAATTTAGATTTTCTTCCACTATTATAAATAAACAAAAGCTTTCTTATATTTGCATCTTTTCTTACTATAAAGGTACTTCTTTATTTCCTTTCCATCTTCCTTGTTTTATATGCCCTTTCCATTCCCATTATCTGTAGTTTCTGACTTTCCCTTTTTCCTTAATTTCATGTCCATATGGAATTTTGAGAAAATAGATTTGTATTAAACAAGCATAAGGTGAACAGTCCATATATTTTGAGGAACATTTAGTTGTAGCAGCAAGAAAATCTATGGGCAGCAGTTATTATGGTCCATGGTGAAACCTAAGTGCCAAGCCAAGAATTGCTACATCACCAGAGTATATAGCTGGCATTTATTTATTTTTATTTTTTATTTAATTTATATTTAAATCTAGATTAAAAATAACTATTTTAAATTAAGAAATCCTGGCAGTTTGGAGCTATAATGTTGCAGTTGGTGAAGGGTAGTTGAAATCCATGCAATATGGATTTAGGGAAGAGGAGACAAAGGGGAAGACAGGACCATCTATGGATGCAGATGGCCAGCACCATCCCCGGGGTTCCCCAAAGTACGGTTGTCCAACTTACAGTCTTTGAGGAGTGAGGTTGTCCTTTTCCTGGATTCAGCAGTGTTGAGTTTTCTGTCCTTAGTCCCTCAGGCTGGGTGCTTCTATGCCCAGGGACTGAGAGCAGAGCAGTCTGCTGTCTTTGACCAGTTCCTGCCGTCCCCTCCAGGTGGCTTCTCACTCTAGAGGAGCTGAGCTGCAACTGGTGCTGGTGTCTTCCCATCCTCAACCCTCTTTTATGTTTAACCTCATCCTTTTTTTTTTTTTTTTTTTCATGAGAGGGCAGGATCTTCAAACATGCTCCCAGAAGGACCCACCCTTTTTGATTCTAAGAAAAAAAGTCATGATCTCTGCAGATAGAGGTAAACTGTTTCCACACATCTGCCAAAAATCGATTCCAAGAAAGACTTGTCTCCAGCTTCCCCTTTTTAGCTTTCCAGCACAAGGAAATCCTCGTTCGCAAGTCTGGCCAGGAGCCTCATCACAATCACTGCAGAGGTGCTTCCAGCGTGCTGTGCCTGACACCTTAAGTGTTAGGGGTCTCAGCCCCAATCAAGATGTAGGTGCAGATGCAGAAGCATGGGAAGGGCTTCAGGGTAGCAGTTTATTCACATGGCCAGCCCAGCTGATGAGTCCCACAGCAAGCCCGAGACCCTGCAGTGCTAGCAGGGTGCAGCAAACCAGGGGCTTTGATGCTGCAGCTTTCCATCCACAACTGGAGGCCCTGTATCTAGGGGACTCCTGATTTTTTTTTTAATATTCATCTTGTTAATTTATGCTAGTTGTGTAAAACATAGGGTTTCAGTGAGACATTTTGATATACAAATGAAATGTCATTTGATCATATTCCCCCTACATGTCTTTTTTGTTCTTGTAAAAAAGGTTTTTTTTTTTTTTGAGGATTTCATACATGAGTACTGTATTTAAATCATTTATACCCTCCTTCTCCCCCTTCAACTCCTTCTGTGTTCTCCCATTCCCTCTTGAGTTCACGCTCTCTTCTCCTTAATTATCTTTGACACATACACAAATACACACACACACACACACACACACACACACACAATTTTCAAATTTTTAAATGGAGTTAGGTCATGTGGGGTGATAATGCTTTTTCCCAAAGTCATAAACTAGAACAAACCCCAATGCTAGGAATGCAAAATATCCTTTTGAATTGTTGCTCAAGGGCATCCAAGAGACCCCTCAGTCAATATAGGCAGTTGGCATTGCCTCTGGTTACCTCATGGAACTTAAAGGTAAGACCCTGTTGCTGAAGACAGT